TGAGCAAATCCACAACATTTACAATCTGAGTACGACGTTCCGCCAGCAATTACAACTAGCTTCATCAGGCGACAGACAGATTTGTGGAGAAATCCTCCTGTTTCGTTCATTAAATAGAGGGGTAGGTGTGGTGACATCACTTGTGAGCCCTTCACGTGTGAAGGTGGGGGGGGGGTTAATGAATGCAGAGAAATTAGAATGAGTATCCATTACCGGTCGGATTACTCATATGGTAGTCAACGCACATTATGCATGCACATGAAGCATGCATAATGTTCTTGTACATCCTGTCGTTTGTGTGCACGACAATAGCACTACCTGTTGTTGTCTGCTCACATGTAATCCCCATCGACGTATGGTGACCTGTAGAGGCATGCAGTTAAACAGTGTATGACTTGACGATTGGCTTCCAAGCAGCACTAAGCCTGCAGCTATCTGAACGTTTAAAATAAATGTTATTCCTCTCAATTCCAATAGATCCTCTAATTAGTGTTGGCCAGTAGCAATTGCTTTTGCACAGAATTTCAACGTTATCAAAATCAATTGAGTGACCTTGTTGGCACGCGTGTTCTGCCACTGCCAACAGTTGTATTCTGGAGTATTCTCCTTCACTGTAGCATTCAAACAGTGCGCAAATCAGTGGTGGCACTCTGTGTATGGATATCAAGTAAAAGCGCTTGGACCCAAACGGATCAAGGTGCCCCTCAATTCGTGATGAAATAGGGGTGCGTGAAATATCAGCTCAATTTATAATAAACATCGCGAGCTGATGCGCATGAAACGACAATTAATCTCTCTCATCTCGACCTCGCCTACGTCTCTCATCTCGCCATATCTCTATAATTGTTTAGAATTTTCTTATCTCACTACGTATACTAGATATTTCTAATCTCCGTCTCTTCTGTTATCTCATTAGCATTGTATTATTTGAAAGGGGCTCAAAATTATTCCTACCCTCTAGAGGAACTCTCCAGAGCTTCATCTCGCGGTGATCCTTCTGCCAGAAGTGGCATGAGCATGCAATTACAATTACAGGGCTGCGCCCTTACCAGAAAAATGGGAAATTAGTTCAACAAAATACAAAGGGTGCCACCGGTCACGCAGGTTTTTTTTTTGTTTTGCAAAGAAATAACAGCTGATGCGTTGGACGTTCTGCTGGGGCATGGATTGGCTCTGTAAAGAGCTTCAAGTGGATATTTTGTTGACGATGTTTGCATACTCTTTGGTTCTATTCGGTAAAGTCACGTAGGTAAAAAAAAAAATACGTGACTTTACCGAATAGAACCAAAGAGTGTGGATCCATGCAGTCACGAAAGCTTCAAATCTAGAAAAGACGATGTTTGCGTTTGGTAGAACGAGCCATAGATATTAATTTCGTATAGTCTGCAGTTTGTTGGTTACCGAAATGTTACAGCCACTTTACACGTAATTGTTGCAGTTAAGTTAGCTCCCAGTGAGGCTTTTGAGCTGACCGAAATAGGACCCATTCAGGTATTGACCAAAGCACTGCAGCAAATGTTATTCGGTGTGTGAATGTGCTCGTGAAATAAAAGCATCTTACAAAACCAGGAAATAATTCCCTGGCATTATTAGCCCATTGTAAATTTACTTTTTCAAGAATGAAACATCATAAGCATATCTTGGATACGACATTATTTACGAAGACCTAAATACGTTGCAGAACGTGAAAATTTATCAAAATCCACCGGTGATAAGTGAACCTGACTCACGATCAGAAGGTTGTGGATTCATATTCTGGTCAGTGGGTCAGCTGAGTCTATCATCCCTCTGAAAGTCGATGAAGTTGGTAGCGCTCAGTGGAACGTCAGTAATAGTTACATGCCATGGATAGCGGGAATGTGGAAATCACACGATGGCTCAGATAAGTGTCACTCTATGACTCATTTTAACAGGGATACCAAGTAAACCTGTTGTAGTGTTGATGACAAATAAAACATACGTCAGATTTAGTAATCCTTGTAATAACAGCAATTATATACAATGCAACAAATGGTATTACATAGCGTTCACACGCATCCTTACCCACGTGTTGATAGTTAAATTTTAATGCGCAAATTTATTGAGGGACTGCATGTTGTCTTGATGTGGTCTGGGACAGTTCTTGCTGTCCTTTTGCTATTTTGCCCACGCTTGGAAATTGGTGTACTTTTGCAAATTGAACTTAAAAACGTTGTTTATTTTTCGTTATTTGTTTACCTGTACTACAATTTGCACTCCTATCGGTGTTTTGTCATATTTGTTGTAACTTTCTGGCCTGCCCTGGCTGGACATCTGTTAAAAAGAGCTTCACAGATCATCGGATTTTCCAGGATAAATATGCGGAATCTTGCTGATGCTATTATATGAGTAAAGGAAGTGGATTTTAACAACAACGCAATTCGAAAATAATATCTTGGCCTTCGAATATACGTCGATACATGTGCGTGTATGCATGTTGAACTTCTTTCGCACTATCCGTAGCCAATCATGCTAGGGTGCTGTGGATTTTATGGCAGGAGAGGGTTGGCACATTGGATGTCCATTACAGTACGTGACCAGAAAGCGTCCCACAGAGATAATCAGGAAGGGGAGGCTGTGTTGGGTGCGGCACTTGAGCAGGATGGAGGAAATCAGATTGCTGAGGTCAGTGACAAAGTTAAAGACCTAGATCCAGATGGTGGGATACTGTATGAGCAGTCCGTGGAGGTGGAAGGTCAGATGACGACCTGCAACAGCTGCGGGATATCGCAGAAGGCAGCAAGCGATGGCGAGGTGTGGTCGTATTAACGGCATTAACTGATTCGACCTCTTGACCTTGACAAATAATTATTTTAGCGCATATGATAGACATGTATCGTTTTAGAAATAAGGGCCTAACTGTCATGAATCTAGTGTGATGTAAATGTATTGTATATTATTTGTGCTTGGACTGGCTTGGTTTGATATCTGTGTTGCTAGCACTGCTACATCCGATGAATATCATGGAACCCGAGATGGAATTTGAAATGTTATATGAAAACCACAGCTGAGTGGGCAATGCATTCAAATGAATTGGTGGTGTTTTCTGTCAGTCACTGTGTTCACATGCAGCCCATGCCTTGCATGCAAGTAAATCAGTGGAAGTGCGTTATTGCTCGATGGTAATGCTCTCAGCAGGTGAATTATACAACCAGAAGTCGCAGTTTGTAAATATTATTTGGTTGATACAACTCTGAAATATATAGGCAAACTTTTTTCTGATGCTGGGGATATTTTACTTATTTTAATTTCATAGGAATTGGATGCTGTATGGTATTATTATTATCAAGCCATTGACACCATCATACATGTTCGTCATCCATAGTTTATTGTTTTATAAAAGCGGCAAGAATATTAAACGGGGATGAAATTATGATTTGTTTTTGATATAATGCGCGCGAGGGTGTCTGAAAGCAAAATTCCACATTTCGTTGGACAACTGTCGCTCGATGTTGCTATAATAAGCAGCGATGTTGCAAGATGAAAAGCAGAAAAATTACGTTTGAAAAAAATTACTAATTTCAGAAAATTTGCATCTATATTCGAGCTCCAAACATAATTGGCCAAATATTGACAATTGCGGTGTCATACAAAGTTAATTTACCATTGTAAGATAATTATAGTACTCAACCATGAGACAGGTTCCACGGTAATGAAACGTGTGCCTATTAAACGAAGTTGTCATTTCATGCGAAAATGGAAAAAAACTGTCAGGGAATTTAGCATTGGTTTAATCATATATTCCTAGCAGTGGCCTTGCAATAAAAAAAACAAGACATACTCTATTACATGAACAGTACTAATTTTGTTAAATTATTTATCCATCATTCTTCCATCGCTATGGAAATTTGTACCATTTTGGAGAAAACCAGCACCATATGAATGTTGAATTCCCAAATGACCCATGCTTACTTGAGCTGGGAGATGCCTTGATTTTTGACTTGGGGCATCCTTTGCAACTTGAGCCAATTGTATTGTGTACGAGTGACGTGGCCTAACTATCATATTTAAAAAAAAATATTCCTTAAAAACCGTGCAGTGCAAATTATAATTATCACTTTGTAACTTTGGTGGCACAAGGTTCCCAATGATAACACTAAGTAACAATGGTCATCAAATTATTTAGAAGATATCACTTTGCTACTTAGCCAAAATTCCCATTGCCGGTACGGTATGGCGTCGGCTGCTCGGGATTTTTTTTATCTCCATGTGCGTCGATTCTATGCCTCTTCGTCTTCTCTCAACACGAAACAATCGAACTGTCACCTCCATTATCTCCTCGCCAATATTCGGCACCCCGACTAAGGAACTTGCTACCGTTTCCTTAGATGTTCCCAAAGTCCAGCATAACGTTCTCATCGGCTCTGCCCTTTCAAGCACTGTTCAGTGCACATGGGCACAAATCAACAGTTTGGTCCACATGCTGTAATTGTTGCTTGTGAGCTCATTCACCTCGCGGAGACTTGCTGCACAGAAAAGGTGTCATCATCACTGAAGACCAGCACAGTTGGGCATATTGTAACAGTGTTAATCACATTCTAGCCTGGGGAGTAAAGTTATCACATTGGTTTTTCCTGCGGTAGTTATTCAAATTACAGGGCACTTTTTTGGGTCGCTTTTTACATCTCATCAAAGATAATTGGAAAGTGAAACTGCACAGTAAACAGACTACGTGTCAATTGAACATGCCAGGTTGATAAACATACACACCTGGTGTGGTGTTAGTCTCGCCCAGGTGTTGTATTTTACGCATTCTGGAATAAAGTGTTGCATTTGTTTAATGCGTCGCGCGTTAACTTCCATCCATTTCCACGACAAAAAAATCCAATCAAGCCCCCGAGCATGCCTGTAACTCGATTCTTTAACGCAGATATGGGGCGTAGGAAATATCGGCCTGTGATTGCCGGCGTGGTAATGCCAACCGATTCTCTCTGATGTGTTTTCATCTTGCTCCGCGTGTTCTTTTTTCTCTCTTCACTAAGGTCACATAACGGCACAGCCTCAAACACCGCCGTAGCAATATCGCAGATTATTTCATGTTTCGAGAGGTGAAACTCAGAGACGTGGATGTTGGAGATAGAACCCCTTAAGCAGCTACCGACAGTCTGCATCGTGGTGAGCCAGCTCACGTGTCAATCTCTTTACTTTGTAGCTGGTTAGTGGTAGGCTTCCCGGGCCAGCGTTGTGATTTTACCACCTGACAAATGTATTTCATTGACCCTTTTGGATGGTGGAGGTTATATGTCGACGACATTGTAAATTAGATTAATTGATTGCATGAGAAATCAGTAAGGCTAAGTGCAATTTGTCCAGAAGTTGCATTCAAACATAAATAGAAACATGCATTTTTTTGAGAATTGGGCTGCTATAAATTTCCACGTGATAAGCCATGTTGTTGAGCTATCATTTATGGCCACGTCGCTTCTGTTAAAAAAAAGAGCAGTATAGCTCAGTGGACCTTACCTGGAGAAAAAAAAAATAGTTTAGTTTATAGTTTCAATATACGCCTGAAACACTTGCAGCCTTAAAGGAGAAAATCACCATCGACATCCGTGATCAATCCACTGTTGGATGAAGACCTCGGCCCCCTGCACACGGACCCATCTCATTGCTCCACCTCCTCGGGGCGGCGTGCTCTTGGGGGTGTTCTCCTCCTTTGGCTGACTATCAGCACCGGACGTCATCGCCGCCCACCGGACGTCATCCCTTCGAAAAACTGTGTTCTGCTGCCAGGCCGCATTTTGCAACGGTCACAATTGACCCATTGACCTGTGTGTGCTCTCGAAAGCACGTGCTCCCATTTTCCGTCTCAAGCATGTATCCCTCCATTCTTGTTTGCGTACTTCTTACGTTTCTTGTTCCGTCCACGACGTCTCAACGTGGGAGTTTCCAACGTCGTCGTGGCGGGCAGTTCCGTATAAAAATAAAAATAAAACACGCGGCAAATCTCGAGTTCCTTGGGCGTTACACTCGGCAGACGCCTCACCTTTGAGTCGCGTATCACTGCCTTAATCCGGTCATGCACTCGCCACACACGAAGCCCTACGTCACATCAGAACATTCACAGATAAAGATGTCATAAATTCCATCGCGTGCGTATCGAGCATGCCCCTCGCCGTGACTGTTGCAGCCCCTCTGCCGTGCACGGGAGTCAACGATGGCCTCAGCTGAACGTCTCCAAAAAACACCCCCCCCCCCACCCCCAGCCGGAGTCGTTTGCCTGGCCCCACCTCGAGCGAGACCCTTCAAACCCTTCTGAAGGAGCTCCACTGGATTCCAGTGCATTAGAGAGTCGCGGTCCAAGGCGGCAGTACTCGCACTCATGGCAAAGATAACCGGTCAACCAACCTACATGAGCAATGGCATTCGCCCATAGGTACCGTCACCGAAACCTACGCTCACCTGCTGTGGAGCTGCTGCAACTGCCCCTGCTGCGTGAAATCTACTCGGCTTAGGCCAGCAGGACGGAGCTGTTCATCTGTGCAGTTCCCCGTGATTTGGAACAGCCTCTGGCAACTGAAGATGTGGCGATCGGTGCTTTCAAGGCTGGAATGAACACATCGATTTTCTCTTCTGTTTAGTTAAATTTAATTTTCTCAGTGTCATCCACGCTTCCAACTCAGCCTTTTTGCTGAATATGGCACGTTACAATTATTCGATTGATGGATTATCTAGACATATTGGCACTTTGGTTCTCATTGAACAGTTCAACTTTCCAAAAACGTCCCAACCGACTCTCGTCTGCCTCTTTAATCTCGTCCTTTTGTTCTTGATCCGCCTTCGACGACTGCCCTAGGTTCACGCATCCAGCTGCGTGTTTCAGTGGCGTCCATCCCTTACAGATATGCAGCGATCATCAAACGCATTGGCAAAAGTAAACTCTAAAATTGCTCAATAAATTATTATTTTTTTAGATTGGGAGACGAAAAAAAAAGTTCCAACAACGTTGACTAAGGGTATCAATTCTAGATTTGAAGCTTTCGTGACTGCAAGGATCCATACTCTTTGGTTCTATTCGATAAAGTCACGTAGGTAAAAAAAATATAACAAAAATCACGACGTTTCGGCCACAACACAAGTGGCCTTCACAAGTGGCCTTGATTAAGGCTACTTGTGTTGTGGCCGAAACGTCGTGATTTTTTTTACCCACGTGACTTTACCGAATAGAACCAAAGAGTAAGGGTATTAAATTTGTGCTCTACTTTTTTTACATCAGAATCATAATATTTATTTAGACTGCAGGAGGAATCCGAAAGGCTCTGAAGCTCTTTTTCACAGATGTCCAGTTGGGGGACACCGAGTCAGAAAGTTACAACAAACAATACAAAAACCGATAGGAGTGCAACGTATAGGAAAGGTAAGCAATGCACTAAAAGCAACAAATACAATAGGAAAGTATAGAAGTGCAAAAGTCTACCAATTCCTGCCGATTTTTCAACAATAAAAGTAAGCTTGGACAAGGCAGCAAAACAACAGCAACAACAACAACAACAGTCCTAGACCACAGCAAGACAACACACAGTCGCTCAATAAAATTTCACACCAAAATGTAACTATCGATACACGGGGGTTGAGGATCTGAGTTGCAAATCACATTCGCAAAAGCTTCTGATTCTGATACATTGCACAAGCACAATCAGCGTTGAATTGTGAATTGACGTAGCGATGAAAGTGAACGGTCTCTCTCTCAAAAAAAAGCTCAAACCACACACAAATCTGGGTAGTGCACCGCTTATGTACTTCAACAAGGAATTCAGTGTTAATTACAAAGCACGGTGATTACTGGAATACTGTACATGTCTTTCTTACAGCCCCCCCCCCGCCCCCCGGATTAAACTTGGTGGAGACGCTCATCGGTGCAAGTTCAATCTGGCGAGGCATCGTTTCGGAATTAGCGCGCACACGTGCAACAAAAAAATATATAAAGATTCCATCCGACAATTACGTCGCAGCCGTCAAACGTTACTGCCAAATTGCACGTAATTCGCTAAGCACCTGCATTTTCATTTATTGGGGATTTCCTTCTGAATTCTTGCGGCGAAAGCGCAGCCGGTCCGGACTCGTTGAGCCATCACCCTTTTTTTTGGTTCTGCTCGCTAAAAAAAACAACGCCGATCGACTCGAGCCGGGCGCTATCGTTTCGTAGACTCTGCGGAAACTGCTGCGCATTTGCACTCTGAATACGTACCCGGCGTTATCGCCGCGCGCGCGCACAGTTTATTGGGGGGGGGGGGACTGGCTAGAAGTGCCCTGATGTAGTGCCGGAGAGCTTTTGTGCTGCCTGCCCTTCGGCCATATGGCTGTATTGTGCCGTGCGTGGAACCCCCAAGCCATGCAATGCTTCTGCCCAACATATAAAGCCTCATCTGCCGGGACACATCAACTTTGGCAATCCAACCTCTCCTTTGATTTCCCTTTGCAGCAGTAGCAACAGCAACAGCAGCAACGTCGCCCGGCATTTGTAGCACATGCAAATCGATGTCGTGTGTAACAGGTGCCTTTGGGAACAGAAGGTTCTTTGGAATTGAACAAATCAGCCCGACGATGTCTCAGTCCTAGCCTCCTACCTGCATTCGTGTGTTTGCCCAGGCGTAAAAAAACACACACACACCGCATTTCACCTCTTTAATTCCAGGAAAGCAGTAATATTTATTTATTTTAAACATTATTTCCATCGTTGCTCCTCATTTTCCAAAAGAGTCGCCGGAAACGAGGAATGAACAACCCGCTACAAGTAACGCGTGGCTGTAAGCAGAACATCATAGTTAGTTCATAGTTCCATTTATTTTGGTATAGAGCCCTGTGAGCCATTCGGCTCTTGAATCGGGTGCAACCGCAACAAACAAAAAACATGAACAAGAAAACATGTTAAAGTGACTATGTGTGACTGTGCAAACAGAAAATCCAGGGAAAAAAAAAAAACATCAAAATATTCCTGAAATAGCACCGTACACCAACGCCGCTCTAATCATGACTTTGCCTCGCATGTTAATGTGTAATCATCACTGAGCATATACTGGTTGATATACCTACTCTTTGGTTTTTTCGGTAAAGTCACGTAGGTAAAATAAAATAAAACAACTAAATTAAATCACGACGTTTCGGAGGCAACACAAGCTTCCGTCTTCAGGTGGAACAGTCACAGCAGAATATCTGTGTCACGTGGACAGCTCTGAGACAGCCGGGATTATATATACAGGTTAAGGGGGGGGGAGCCAAGAAGGGACGTGGGTGGGGGGGAGGGCTGAGTTAAGCCGCCTTTTGTTATGCTGCAGGGGGTTCGGGGGGAGAGATGTACGAGTACACGCAACCCACTGAGAGCAATGGCAATGGCTGTACAATTATAAGGCAGCTAACGTTTGACTTGATTTATAACATCTTTCCAATGGTTGCTCAATTTGCCTCCGAAACGTCGTGATTTAATTTAGTTGTTTTCTTTTATTTTACCTACGTGACTTTACCGAAAAAGCCAAAGAGTATGAATCCTTGCAGTCACGAAAGCTTCAAATCTAGAATGGTTGATATACCGTTGAATGCTCATCTCTGCAACTCGCCCTACGATAGAATACTGATAAGGATGAGCAACGGTTGGCCACGCACAGTGTGAAAGTAGTTCAACATACCTACTGCACATATTCGGTTTAATGTAATGAGTCTCAAATCAATTAAAAGTGATAAATACTCATATTGGCAGAATCGCCTAATGCACACTGATCAGTCTACAAAGCGTACAATGGTAACGTGGTTCTGTTAGGTTAAATGATCCATGTATACAGTATATTAATGTAAATAACTGTTTCTTACGCATAATCGTGTGATCGGATTAAGCACTTTGAAAATTTGAACTTCTGTATGGGATTACTTCGTTACTTATGAAATGGCATGTAATCAGTAGTTAGTAGTTCAAGTTACCCTCAAAACAATGAAACCATCGTAGGTTTAAAGCACTTCCCCCACCAAAGGAGCGCACAGTTTACCTGGATCCGATTGCGAACTTCTGATTCGTGCAGTCACTTGTCAGAGTGGATTTAATGAAATCATAACCACAGCATTCGTTACCTGGAATGTGTAAACCCACAGAACAAGACGTCGCTGCTGTTGCTTAATCTTGGTTTGTCATTCTCACAGTGAAAAAAAGCAATGTTTAGGAGTGTAGGCGATACAAAAATAAATAACTCAACCTTGCCTTTTATAAGAGCAAGGTTAAAGTTACATCGGTGCCATTGCGAAATATATACGACCTGCAGTATAGATATATATAAGTACAAGTGGTATATTGCCCTTCTGAACATTCCAATGTTTGTGTGCAATGTTAGGAGCGATAAGCAGGAGATTTTTCAGTTCACGCACAGCTGATAATGACATTCTACTCTTGCTTATGGCA